TTTTTTTTTTTTTTTTTTAAATAGGAACATGTCCTTTCTACAAGGTGAAAGTGTCTCTTCCCCGCCTTTTGAAGGAAAATTCCAGTGTTCTCCTTTGAACAACCGAGTAAAATGAAAAGCCTAAAAAAATACGAAGATGTGACAAGTGTCAAAATAGCTGCATACAAGCTAAAGATAGAGGGTACATAAAGAGGGTGGTTAACAGCAGAATCATAACCATCTGTCCTATGATAATGTTTTAAGAAAAATAAAATTAAAGGGCTTTTTCATAAACAGTTTTTAAAAATAGTTAAGCTACTTTTAACATGTGAACTAAACACTATATAATGTTGAAGCTATTTCAAATGGCATACTTTAAACATTCCTATCTGCTCAAAGTAAACAACTTTTTAAAATTTGTATTTGCTTAATTTATAGATAAGAAATCCACCTTAAGCCTCAGCAATAAAGAATTAACTTCTGATTAATTACTATACAGAGCCAACAATGCTTTTAGTGGGTGTGAAATAATTTAACACTAAATTTGCTTTTTAGTGCACTTCCAAAGTTTAGAAGTATTCATTCACTGAAAGCAGCATGGCATAAAAAACACAGGGTTAGGAGTCAGAAGTTTGAATGCTAATCCTGTCACCCCAAGCCATACAGTGAGTCAGTAAACCATTATACCTTCTGTTTCAGTTTCACTACTTGTATAAAAAGGAGAGAAATGTTAGCCCACATAACCAATGAGTGGGTTGTGAGGACTATGGTATTTGTGTCTACATACTGGCTTTGACACATTATGCAAACGGTGGGTATTATTTCAGGGATTCTGGTTACAAATACTTTATTAGTCTTTTGGCAGAAAACCCATAAATTACTACTTGTACTGCTGCTGTAGCACTTAGGAACCCTGGTCTTGGACAAGGTCTGCTCTATGCTAGTCACTGTACCAGCAGAGTTCAACAACAAGAAACCATTCACAGATGGATCTGGAGGACACAAAGAAATAATGAGACAATACTCAATGCCATGATAGGCAGAGGTCATAACTTATTGCTGCCTACTATTGAGTTCATTTTGTGGGCATCATGGCAAAAGCAAGTTTTAAGGAAGCAAGTTTTCAGGAAAGGTTCAGGGAAGACAATGAAATGACTTCACAGAAGCAAATTCCACACACGTAGAATAACATGGGAAATAGCAGAAAAATACTTGCTTGAATATTCTAACAAAAGAGTAATAAAGTGTGGTATCACTGGCTTGGGAGTTTGCATCTTAGCAATGTAAGAGATATGAGGATAACCTACAAAAGGCATTGGAAGTGATGAAGAAAGAGTCAGTCAAGGGATGCAAAGGGAGAGGTGACATGGTCAAGGTGAGCAGCAACGAAAACGATCTTTGCATTTTGAATGGGTAAGTGCATTTTGAATGGATAAGTCCATTTTGAATGGGCAAGGCTGCACTTACCAGTTTCAGAGAAGATATAGCAGCAAGAGAGGCATAAGCTGAAAAAAATTTGGATGAGATTCGTGGTAGTGGTTCTAGATAACAAGGTCACATCTTAGAGAACCTGTATGATTTGCATATGGCCTGAAAGATATGAAGATCCAGAGAAGAGACGTCATGTGGAAGATGATGCTCTCTTACAGACCTGTATCACAGACAACACAGTGGTGCTTACAGTGAAAAGTGAAGGGAAGAAGTTTGTTTGAAAGATTGTAAGCTCTGCTGTTGCTGTAATGAGCTTAAGCTGATTAAGTGAAACAGGGAAAAGGAAAGAAACAGTAAAAAAGTAAAAAATATTTCTAATTGTTTTTCCAAACCGACCTCTGCTTTAAAGGAAAGCTATGTTATATTTGATATTCTCTGTTTGTAACTAAATACACAGAAATCGGCATACACCTGGTTAATGAAGCAGATTTTATTTTTCTACGTGAATCTCTCTCTCAATTTTTTTTGTTTATATTACTTTTATAGAAATGTGACCACTTCACCTTATATGTAAAATTAATAAAATCTTTTTGTGAATGTTTTAACATTTGGAGATTACATATAAAATCATTTAAAGTTTATGTCTAATAGCTGCAATAGACAAATTAGAAAAAAAACAACAAATTGTATTTACATTCAAATAAGAATTAAAAGAATAAAGCTTCACATACTACAAAGTACTTAATCCTGGGCACAACTGGAAACAAGAGCCTTTCTTTTAGAATGGGATAAAAAATTGTATTTTCCCAAGAGTGTTTTCCTCTCCCCTTCTGCCCCCTGCCTCAAAAATAATCTTCACTGATAAGCTGAGAATAGAGGAAATGTTGCTAATAAATAAAATAATCATAATATTCAATCACAACTATGTACACAAGAATGTGAAAGCTAGTTTTAAAATTGTCCACTAGAAGGCACAATGTCCTAGCTTGATATTCTGCAAACTGAACCAATGATAGTTTTTCTCCAGTGAATATTTCAAGAGTCATTTAACAGTAGAAAAAAATCCCAGCTACATATCAAAACAGCTGTGGAGTCTTTATTCACTTGCAAATGTACTATTGTTGTTATTTTTTTTAATTTATAGGGGTATTTTTTAATGAGCTGAATTCCGGGTCAATAAGGAGGCTTGTAGTAGATCAAACTCTAAGTCTACTCGTGTGGGCAAAAGCTGTAGGAACACTTTTCCAGTATGCTGGCAGCCCAAGTGACTCCACAACAACATGTGCACTTCAGCAAAAGCTCCTGCTGGAGTCTTGCAAGAAGCAATTAAAGTTGGAAGATCCATGCAGCATATGTATCAGTGTAATGCCTTACTACCCATTCTTATCACATATGCAACAGCAGGTCAGTTTGCAGGTATTTAGTTCTTTATCTGCCTGTCAGGATTGCACAGTCCCCAGCTCTGCTTCAGCAGGACAAAGTTTTACACAAATGCATCCCTTTGCTTGGTTTACTTGAGCCCTAATGTGCTTATCTTACATGGCATTCTTACACATGCAAGCGCCACAGCACCAGGTGCTCTGAAAAGTGCCCAGTGCTGCGATGCTTGCAGTTGCATAAGTGGCAAAATGCACATCAGCACTGAAAAAAATGGTGGCAGCACACTTTTGAACTAAAACACACTGGAGGTGCTTTAGTTCAAAAGTGCACCACTGCCATTTTCTGCACTTTGATGCGCATTTCACCACTCATACAACTGCACGTCGCATAGTGCAGTTTGTCTCAGGTTGTTGCAGAACAGATTCGATTGAGTCCGCTCCTAAGTGGTGGATCTCCGGCACGTTGCAGGACAAAAAAGTATGTGCATAAATGGCCATCGATTTCTAACTTTCTGGATGGGTGGGCTTTAGGCGTATTGTTGAGTTTACATGCTAAGGCTTGATGTAGCAAGTGGGAGGCTGTACTGCCTGCCTACACAACTATATCCTGTTGGCTAATTCATGAGGCTCCTTTACAGATGGCTTCGGGGACATGCAGTATCTGCTACTGCAAAAAAAAAATGGTAGAGGGAAGAGGATTCAAGAATGAAAGGAGCTGGGATCCTCTGATTTATATTTGAAAAGGTCTGGGGGAAATAAAGATGCTCTGAATTAGATCATAAGGAGTTTATTTGTTAGTCACTGATTTCCTATTATAAATGGTACCATCCAAGTGGTCAGAACTTTTATTCCCAGTGTAAACACATGGCTAAACGTGGACACTCTGAACACAGAGAATCCAAGACCCGTTGTTCCAAAGCAGTCCCTGAAGAGGGATGAAGAAGCTTTACTGGTCACAGAATCAGGATGCTCCAGAAGGGGGACTAACATCACTTCTAGTTTTAGCTTCTATTCAAATTACATAACAAAGAAGATTTTTTTTTTTTTTAAACAAAGGCCAATTTGGCCTATGACCTACTCTTCCAAGGTGTGGAGCTCTGCTTCTTCCAAAGGCCATTATTCCTTCTGAGTATCAAACAGGATTTATCTATTTATTTATAGACATATAAACATTTTGTAGCATCCCAGAATAGCCTTTGGTGTCCCTTTATTCTTCTTTCAAAAGCTGGGGGAATACTTTATCAGGGATTTAACTTCTTGGAAGACTGCAGTAAGGTAAAGCTTGTAGAAATTTCTTTTAATATATTCAATTTACATTAAATTAGTAAAAAGAAAATGTAGTTTTTAGTGCCAAGTGTACTATTACCTTTATCGCCAAGGTCTCTAAAAAAGGTTGGTCCTGGTTTAGCTTTTGTAACGCATGCCAGTGCAGCATCTACCTCCTTTAAATACAAACACACATACACACACAAAAAACAGTTGTGAAAGAGGAGTCCATTAGGTTTAGTAACAGAAAGAATGCAACTTCTTTTGAAGAACAAAAAGAACACTTTGCTTACCTTTTTTGTCAGTTTCTTGGCTGAAGATTTACCTGCAACAAAAAAAATCGTCATTATTGAATAACTGACTTTAAAACTTTGATCAAGTTCTGTAGCATTTTTTCATATTTTTATGGGAAAATGTTAAGTAATGTGAAACAGAATATTTTGTAGTTGGCAGTTTGTTTCCAATTCCTGCACTGAACAGGGAAGGACAATGTTAAAAAAAATAACATGAACAGCCTGTTCAATATTGCAAGCTAGATGAAACCATAAACTGCTTCAGGTATTTATGACTAATTCGTGTGTGTGTGCGCGCGCGTGCGCGTGTTTTGTGTATGCACTGTGCTACCTGCACCTTGGATCCCAAAATGGAGGTATTACTGGAAGAAGCTTAATTAGATGTTTTACATACACAAGTTTGTGTATGCAATTATAATCCACCTTGAAATGCAGAATCAAGCATTCATAAGATAAGAAATGACAGAACTAGAGTTCTTTTAATGTTGCTTTTGATATTATTTCTTCAGCTGATTGGAAAAGGAAAACAACTAAATTCCATCCTATAGAACCAGACTGACCCCCAGCACCTACCCGACTAAAAGTAATGGGTGGCAGTAATAGGTTGTTCTCTTCAGTGGGGACAAGCCACTATAAAGGGATGTTTCATTTTTCCAACATAATAATCAGCTTGACAGTAACAGAACATAAAGACCCTCATGAATGCTTTGTTCAATCTCACATTCTGGATGGAAGTGTTCTAGCAGTTCTGACTCTTCTGTCCTTATTAGCCCAGCCTGTCCCATTCTCTGCTCTCTTCCCCCCACAGTTCTGATCTCTCTCCCCTTTGGGCTACTATTGCTCCCAACCCATCGACTCTCCTGTTGCTTTCAATCCTCTGGCTTTTAAGTCCTTTGAATTCATGTCAATTTGCTACTTCTTCTGCCAGCAGAGGAGACTTAGAACAGAGACGTAAGCGTTCCTGGTCTCACAGCCTGGTGCCACAATGGCCGCTTACAACTGGGAGGAGTAAATGACCATTGACAATTGGGAGGAGTAACTACCTACCTGCTCGGTCCCTGGAGTCTCTGGATGGAACACTCAGTTGCTCTGAGTGGGCATTACAATGCAGTTGGAATAGGGGCTGTATGGGAGCAGAGCATGCCCATGGCAGACAATCTGTTGTTTTTGGAGGATATACCGACCAAACACGGGTGGACTTTCTACATGGATGTTAAAAATTATACACCTGACACCAGGGAGATTCCATTGGCAAACTGTAAGTTCCTCTTTCAAAGCCTGAATGCACTAGTTTGTCTCAAACTGACTGCAAGATACTTTTTTAAACATGGGCTGAACAATGCCTTTTCCTCTGTCTTTGTTATCTGAGATGGCAGAACCACTTCTGCTGAAACGGTCTGAAAAAATATTCAGCATATGGCAGACATCTGGGAGAGAACATATCAATCCCAATGGCTGAAGTTTGGCAAATTTAAAAGCTACTGGAGCCCCAGTCTCCAGTCATAATGGAAAGTTCATGGTGACTTTAACTACAGGCACTGCTGTCAACACCACCTGTTATTATATATGAATATATGTTTGCATGCATTTTATGGGCAGATATGGAACTGAAAGAGAGCAAAATGAAGTATTTGAAATAAAAGGTGTTAAACACGGCTAAAACACCACCAGAATATTATTACACGAGCTCTGTTTATACTAGCACTGAAACAGCTATCTTTTGGGCAGAATATGACACACAGGTAGCACAGCATCAGAATGTTTCACAACAGCATAAGGCATGAAGTGAAGAAGCTTACTGTGTGCGGTAGCAGTAGGAAGAATAATCACATTGTCAATTAACACCCCTAGCTCTTGTTAGAGTTGACAGGAGCACATCAGACATTTATTAATGAACTAAGTGGTACAGACCTCAATTTTTTCATCTCACCTGAAAGATGCTATCTCCTAAGGCAGGGTGCTCAACCTCTGGGCCATGGGCCAAAGGTGACCTGCAGAGTCTTGGAATCAGGCTTACAGGGCCTCTGTGGGTTGGGAAATTTGGCGGTGGGGGAGCAGCGCCAGTACTACCACCACTCATTACTGCCAAAATTCTAAGCCCCATGGGGTGGGTCGGAGTTGGGCCATGAACTTGCCCCACATCACCAGATTGGAGCCGGGCCATACCTCCTCCGCTGCCAGGCAGCTGGGCCATTTTCCCTCTGCCCAGCCAGTGTGGGGTTGGGCCCCGCCCCCTTCCTCTTGTGGGATTAGGCACGCCCTGCTGCAAGGCTGGATTGTGGCCAGGTCAAACCCCTCACCCACATGGGGCCAGGTTGGGGCCATCCCAAGCCCCCTTCTACCGTGCAGCTGGATTGGGGCTGGGCTGCCCTCCTCTCCCTTCTGTGTGGCCAGATTTTACCACCATCCTTCAAAACCATACAGAAACATAGGTAATGACATAGAAGGGAGAGTGCCACCTCTCGTGCCAACATCACCGTCTGCAGGATTCAATCTTCCCTTGCATCCAAGTACAGATGTACCCATACTTACACAGGTGACCTCAATGCAGATAAAGCTTTTATGCTGTTGAGGAATCATTTGCTGAAGAATCTTTCATTGTGCCAGGTTATGTTTTAGAAGGATCTATGAAGTCCATGATACAAACATGCCTATTAACTGCTGTACTTTTGAAGCCACAGCTATGATAACAGTTTATGGGTCAATCTTGTGAGGCTCTCTGCTCACCTTGATAATTTGTCCATATAGACCCTGGTATCTTTTGAGTACTCCACTGAGCCAGCTTCAAAATTGTAGGAAATGCTCTAATAATGAGAAAAACCCTAATAAGTGAATATCAGAAAACTAGAAAGGGAAAAAGGGGAACCGCTTGTGGCCCATTTCTTCTGTCTGGCAGTCACATATCAGCTTGGTTGATGGGACCCATTAACACCATCCTGCATAATGATACTCCAACTCAGCTCTACCCAGCTTCCCAGTAAAATGTAAGATGCTGACATGCCATATGACTCTTAAGATAAAAAGAAAGTAATGGTGAAGGAGGAGGTCTAGGTGTATTTAGCCCCAGGCATAATGGAAAGGAAGGAATGAAGGGAGACAGAGCCTCCAATAGTGGGGGGAAAAATGGAGACCAGTTTCATGGAGAGTGCACAGAACTACAGGCATATGGATGAACTTGCACACTAGGGAAGGAGGGATCTCATCAACCAAACTGGGCACATGAACAGAATGACGAGGAAAGAAGAGCGATACCAACTAGGTTGGGTTTGAAAGACTGAGTAGCCAAACTGGGAGGAAAGGCTTGATTATCAGATAGGAAAAAAAAACCAGAATGAGAAAGAGCAGGAGAGGGTGAGGAAAGGGGTTGACAAGCAAATGAAGATATTACTGCTATTCTTAGTGCAGGACCTACTGCAAGTACAGCACGTAATTTTTTGTTTGTTTGTAAATGGGCCTAAAATTATATTCGTTTCAACTTATTCTAACAAAGATGGCATAGTGATCCTTGGGACCCTTTGGTAATTCAGTAACTGCTCAGAAGAAACGACATTTTCTTGTTACTATCATTTTTCACATTACAGTATAACTAGTATAAACTATCACAATAGAGGATTTTGCAGTCCATATCATAATTTAAACTGAATACAAGAGTCTTCTCCCAAAACTGTAATTTTAATATTCTCTACTATTTAAAACCAATTATCCTGTGAATACATTAACTATATGGATCATTTGTGAATACTTAATGTAATTCCCATTTTGCACCATAAATTTTAACTATTTTATTGTAATTTTCATAATATTGCCTAAATGCTGATTTAGCCCTTAGTGCTTATCCTTTCCACGTTTCATTCTCTCACAAGATCAGTGTAAAACTCCAACAAGGAGATCTTTGTTAGTATCATATAATGACTCATCAAATGTATGGTTCCTTGTCTATACTGGTTAGAAAAACAGGGTTAGTGCTTAGCAAAAGCCATGCTTCAACATAGTTCACTAGAGGCTTTAACAGCTTCTCTACACCATGTGGACAAGGCCTAAGCGCAGGGGTGTGTGACATTACTGAAGAGTCATGATGGATCTTGTGGAAGCTGCTTTGTTCAACAAACAACAAAAGATCTGAGCAGCAAAACAGCGAATCCTGATAAATCCTGAGGGCTTACATCTGATCATAGCAGATCCTGCTAGTGGCATTCCACCACTGAAAAATACATTTGACACATGGTTCTCAAACTTTTATGGAGTGGATCACCCATGCCTCAGACCCTTCTGTTAAGACAGTTTATTTGAAAAGGTGGTCCCTCTGCTTTCTTATCAACTGAATCTGGGGACCTGCTAAACATTTCATTCCTGATACCTACCAACATGCTTCAGGACCTAACCCTTCATTTCAGAAATGCAGGTAAAAATATATCTACTAAGATCAAAGTCTGCCAAGTAAGAAAGCTTACACATGTAATTTCTTCTTCTTTTTTTTTTTTACATACATACAAATCAATGGTGTATTAGAAAACATATTTACAATTACAACAGTCTAAGTTCCATGCCTTAAAGTGAAAATATTATTGTCCTGAGCAAGAGACAATGGAAACTACTTTTTTCAACTGACCTTCCAAGTCTGCAATCAAATTTTGGGTCTGAAAATTTTCAAAGTTCCCGACCTATTTCAGAGATTCCATCATCTGATTTTCACTATTCACAGTAGATCCATGAACCAGCAACCAAGTACAGGCACATCTTGTTACAGGCAAAGGACATCTTAACTTTGTAAGTGAAGCTATTTTATTGAAATACCCAGCCAACATGCAAGTAAAAAAATTCTTTGCCTTCAGCCAAGAAAATGAAGTTAGTTGACAACCATAACTGAGAAAATACCAACAGCAGCTACTTTTGTTTTAATCTGCCATCGGCACGGATGGTCTTTTGTCACGTAAATTTTTGACAATAGAAATGTTTCCATCACCTATCATCTCCTTATAGCAACATGTAGAATGAACCTGACATCAGTACTGGGATTAGTGTTAGGCTAGTA